TCATTTGCACCCTTTTCAACCTAACGACGTATGTAAATAACAATCTCACTATACCTTTGAAAAATATCTCATTTTTACCTCAAAAATACCTAAATTTTTCAGTAAGGGTTTTCTTGTTTTAGGCGGTAGGTCTTGAGATTACTGTTATTGGCTTATGCGCGGATTCTTTTCTTTAAAAAATGTTTGATCCTCTGAAGGAACCAATTCCTCTGCAGAGGATAAAAATTGCGATAGCATGTCTTCGGATCATCCTCTGAGATGTTTCCCAGACCGTCGTCAATAGACCATTGTGCATTTCTAATGCGACGTAAATAAAATACCTACCTTAAAAAATGTTACTGAGTTTACGAGCGAAAAAAAAGAAATAAAAATTTCTTTTTTCAATAAATCTTTTTTTTTTATGAAACGCAAATTTAGTTTTTACCAACCTAAATGGTTGTTATTAATAATCAATAATTATAGCTACAGTACAGCACCGATTATCCGAAACAAAGGCTACGGATAACAGAAAATACGGATAATTGGACAATTTCAACAAGCGGTTATGGAAATATTTTTAAGTATTTTCCCTTCACACTTTTTCTGACTTAAAACTGGCAATTGTCATTGTGCCTATTATAGTATATTACAAATGACGTGTTTAAAAGTTATGACTTTAATTAAATTTCATTTTCAGTCAAATTTATACAAAATTTAGAAATTATTACATATCGTATATAATACAGTATACATATATTAAAAAGTCAGAGGAAAAACAATTGATAGTTTTCTGTCTTATGGAGGATATTCTTTTTTCGGTAGCCATATTCCTTAATTTATTTAAAAGTAGCAGTTGAACGAGATCAACGGAATCTTGCTGTTGAAACCATTCCATCGCTATTTCAAGGGCAGTAAATGCTTCTGTATTTGTTGGTTTCTATAAATTCTTCTGTTTCATCTGCTTTTTCGTCTCCTCACATTGTTTCCCTCGCTTCCTATGTGGCCAATATTATTTATTCGTCACTAAAAATTTGGAAACACAAATCTTTTTCATCACTTTCAAATAATTGAAGATCTCTACTATTGAAAAAATGTAAAGATATACACTACTCTTTATGTAATATTAATAATTTTGAAGTTAAAAATTAATGAACCAGGTGGGCCGTATAACACTTTATGTTTGTTAATTATTTCCTTCGTAAGCATTAAAAAAACAACAACTTTAGGTAAAACTATAAAACCCTGAAGTGTAAAGTAGAACATCGTGAATCTAAAGTAGAACATCGAGCACCTCACGGTCATAAAAAACAACCTCTCCAACGGTCAAAAATACACTTGAGGTTGATCTTTAATAACTTGATGTAGAAAATGACGCAACTTAAGTTGATAAGAAAATACAAGCATAAAAATATATACTTGAGGTTGAAATATAATAACCTGAGGTAACCTCACGTTGGTAAAAAATTACCTTTGCAACTGTCAAAAAATGCATTTGTGGTAGATCCAGAATAACGTGAAGGAAGTGTTAAATGAAACACCTTAGCTTGTTGTATAAATACTTCCTCAGGTGTAAAAAAAATTACTTCAGGATGATAAGTAATAACCTAAGGTTGAGAACGAAACACCTTACAGTAGTAAATATCTACCTTTCCACAGATGCAAGATGAAACATCTCAGATTGATACATATATACCTCTGAAGGTATATTTAAGGTATATTTTAGGTGAATTTTGAGGTACTCATTTGCACCCTTTTCAACCTAACGACGTATGTAAATAACAATCTCACTATACCTTTGAAAAATATCTCATTTTTACCTCAAAAATACCTAAATTTTTCAGTAAGGGTTTTCTTGTTTTAGGCGGTAGGTCTTGAGATTACTGTTATTGGCTTATGCGCGGATTCTTTTCTTTAAAAAATGTTTGATCCTCTGAAGGAACCAATTCCTCTGCAGAGGATAAAAATTGCGATAGCATGTCTTCGGATCATCCTCTGAGATGTTTCCCAGACCGTCGTCAATAGACCATTGTGCATTTCTAATGCGACGTAAATAAAATACCTACCTTAAAAAATGTTACTGAGTTTACGAGCGAAAAAAAAGAAATAAAAATTTCTTTTTTCAATAAATCTTTTTTTTTTATGAAACGCAAATTTAGTTTTTACCAACCTAAATGGTTGTTATTAATAATCAATAATTATAGCTACAGTACAGCACCGATTATCCGAAACAAAGGCTACGGATAACAGAAAATACGGATAATTGGACAATTTCAACAAGCGGTTATGGAAATAT